CGTTCCTTTCCATTTCTGTCTTTCTTTTCGTTCCTTTCAATTTCTGTCTTTCTTTTTCGTTCATTTCCGTTTCTGTCTTTCTTTTCGTTCCTTTCTGTTTCTTTTTTTTGTCGTTTTTCTGTTTTTCTTTCTTTTCGTTCCTTTCCGTTTCTGTCTTTTCTTTATCGTTCCTTTCAGTTTTTTCTGTCTTTCTTTGTCGTTCATTTCTGTTTTCTTTGCCTTTCCTTTTCTTTCCTTTCAGTTTCTGTCTTTTCTTTTTCGTCGTTCATTTCTTTTGTTTCTTTCTTTTCGTTCATTTCCGTTTCTGTCTTTCTTTTCGTTCCTTTCCGTTTCTGTCTTTCTTTATCGTTCCTTTCCGTTTCTGTCTTTCTTTATCGTTCATTTCCATTTTCTGTCTTTCTTTTTCGTTCATTTCCATTTCTGTCTTTCTTTATCGTTCATTTCCGTTTCTGTCTTTTCTTTTTCGTTCATTTCCGTTTCTGTCTTTTCTTTGTCGTTCATTTCCGTTTCTGTCTTTCCTTTTCGTTCCTTTCCATTTCTGTCTTTCTTTGTCGTTCATTTCCGTTTCTGTCTTTCTTTGTCGTTCATTTCCGTTTTTTTTCCTTTTCATTCTTTCTTTTCTGTTTTCTTTTTCATTCCTTTCTTTCTGTCTTTCTTTGTCGTTCATTTCCGTTTCTGTCTTTCTTTTATCGTTCCTTTCAGTTTCTGTCTTTCTTTGTCGTTCATTTCCGTTTGTCTTTCTTTTCGTTCCTTTCAGTTTCTGTCTTTCTTTCGTTCATTTCCATTTCTGTCTTTCTTTTTTCATTTCATTTCCGTTTCTGTCTTTTCTTTTCGTTCATTTCCATTTCTGTCTTTCTTTGTCGTTCATTTTCCATTTCTGTCTTTCTTTTTCGTTCATTTCCGTTTCTGTCTTTCTTTTGTCGTTCCTTTCCGTTTCTGTCTTTCTTTATCGTTCCTTTCAGTTTCTGTCTTTTTTGTCGTTCATTTCCGTTTCTGTCTTTCTTTTCTTTTTCGTTCATTTCTTTTTTATGTCTTTCTTTTTTTCGTTCATTTCATTTCTTTCTTTTTCTTTGTCGTTCATTTCCGTTTCTGTCTTTCTTTTTCGTTCCTTTCAGTTTCTTTCTTTTCTTTTTCGTTCATTTCCGTTTCTGTCTTTCTTTATCGTTCCTTTCCATTTCTGTCTTTCTTTTATCGTTCCTTTCAGTTTCTGTCTTTCTTTTGTCGTTCATTTCCGTTTCTGTCTTTCTTTTTCGTTCCTTTCCAGTTTCTGTCTTTCTTTGTCATTCCTTTTCATTTCTGTCTTTCTTTTTCGTTCATTTCCGTTTCTGTCTTTCTTTTGTCGTTCATTTCCATTTCTGTCTTTTTTTTATCGTTCCTTTTCCATTTTCTGTCTTTCTTTTCGTTCCTTTCCCGTTTCTGTCTTTTTTGTCATTCATTTCCATTTTCTGTCTTTCTTTGTCGTTCATTTCCGTTTCTGTCTTTTCTTTTCGTTCCTTTCAGTTTCTGTCTTTCTTTTTCGTTCATTTCCGTTTCTGTCTTTCTTTTTCGTTCATTTCCGTTTCTGTCTTTCTTTTCGTTCCTTTCCATTTCTGTCTTTCTTTTCGTTCATTTCCATTTCTGTCTTTCTTTATCGTTCCTTTCCGTTTCTGTCTTTCTTTATCGTTCCTTTCAGTTTCTGTCTTTCTTTCATTCATTTCATTTCTCCGTTTTTGTCTTTCCTTTTCGTTCCTTTCATTTCCGTTTCTGTCTTTCTTTGTCGTTCATTTCCGTTTCTGTCTTTCTTTTCGTTTCATTTCCGTTTCTGTCTTTCTTTTTCATTCCTTTCAGTTTCTGTCTTTCTTTTCGTTCATTTCCGTTTCTGTCTTTCTTTATCGTTCCTTTCATTTTGTCTTTCTTTATCGTTCCTTTCAGTTTCTGTCTTTCTTTGTCGTTCATTTCCGTTTCTGTCTTTCCTTTTCGTTCCTTTTCAGTTTCTGTCTTTCTTTGTCGTTCATTTCCGTTTCTGTCTTTTTTATCGTTCATTTTCGTTTCTTTTTTGTCGTTCTTTCCATTTCTCTCTTTCTTTTGTCATTCATTTCCATTTCTGTCTTTCTTTATCGTTCCTTTCCGTTTCTGTCTTTCTTTTCTCGTTCTTTTTTTTTTCAGTTTCTGTCTTTCTTTGTCGTTCATTTCCGTTTCTGTCTTTCTTTTCGTTCCTTTCAGTTTCTGTCTTTTCTTTTCGTTCCTTTCCATTTCTGTCTTTCTTTTTCGTTCATTTCCGTTTCTGTCTTTCTTTTCGTTCATTTCATTTCTGTCTTTCTTTATCGTTCCTTTCCGTTTCTGTCTTTCTTTTATCGTTCCTTTCAGTTTCTGTCTTTCTTTGTCGTTCATTTCTTTCTGTCTTTCTTTTTCGTTCCTTTCCGTTTCTGTCTTTTTTTTCGTTCCTTTCAGTTTCTGTCTTTCTTTTCGTTCATTTCCATTTCTGTCTTTTCTTTATCGTTCCTTTCCGTTTCTGTCTTTCTTTATCGTTCCTTTCCGTTTCTGTCTTTCTTTTCGTTCCTTTCCGTTTCTGTCTTTCTTTTCATTCGTTCCTTTCGTTTCTGTCTTTCTTTTCGTTCCTTTTTCAGTTTCTGTTTTCTTTGTCGTTCATTTCCGTTTTCTGTCTTTCTTTATCGTTCCTTTCCGTTTCTGTCTTTCTTTATCGTTTCCTTTCAGTTTTGTCTTTCTTTTTCGTTCATTTCCGTTTCTGTCTTTCTTTTTCGTTCCTTTCCGTTTCTGTCTTTTTTTCTTTTTCATCGTTCCTTTCCGTTTTCTGTTTCTTTCTTTATCGTTCCTTTCAGTTTCTGTCTTTCTTTGTCGTTCATTTCCGTTTCTGTCTTTCCTTTTCGTTCCTTTCAGTTTCTGTCTTTCTTTGTCGTTCATTTCCGTTTCTGTCTTTCTTTATCGTTCATTTCCGTTTCTGTCTTTCTTTATCGTTCCTTTCAGTTTCTGTCTTTCTTTGTCGTTCATTTCCGTTTCTGTCTTTCTTTATCGTTCCTTTCCGTTTCTGTCTTTCTTTATCGTTCCTTTCAGTTTCTGTCTTTCTTTGTCGTTCATTTCCGTTTCTGTCTTTCTTTTCGTTCCTTTCCATTTTCTGTCTTTCTTTGTCGTTCCTTTCCGTTTCTGTCTTTCTTTTTCGTTCATTTCCGTTTCTGTCTTTCTTTATCGTTCCTTTCCGTTTCTGTCTTTCTTTATCGTTCCTTTCAGTTTCTGTCTTTCTTTGTCGTTCATTTCCGTTTCTGTCTTTCTTTATCGTTCCTTTCCGTTTCTGTCTTTCTTTGTCGTTCATTTCCGTTTCTGTCTTTCTTTTTCGTTCCTTTCAGTTTCTGTCTTTCTTTGTCGTTCATTTCCGTTTCTGTCTTTCTTTATCGTTCATTTCCGTTTCTGTCTTTCTTTTTCGTTCATTTCTTTCTGTCTTTCTTTTGTCGTTCCTTTTCCGTTTCTGTCTTTCTTTGTCGGTCATTTCCGTTTCTGTCTTTCCTTTTCGTTCCTTTCAGTTTCTGTCTTTCTTTGTCGTTCATTTCCGTTTCTGTCTTTCTTTATCGTTCATTTCCGTTTTGTCTCTTTCTTTATCGTTCCTTTCAGTTTCTGTCTTTCTTTTCGTTCATTTCCGTTTCTGTTTTCTTTATCGTTCTTTCCTTTCTGTTTTCTTTATCGTTCCTTTCAGTTTCTGTCTTTCTTTGTCGTTCATTTCCGTTTCTGTCTTTCCTTTTCGTTCCTTTCAGTTTCTGTCTTTCTTTTGTCGTTCATTTCAGTTTCTGTCTTTCTTTTTCGTTCCTTTCCATCTGTCTTTCATTCCTTTCCGTTTCTGTCTTTCTTTTTCGTTCATTTCCATTTCTGTCTTTCTTTTCGTTCGTTTCTTTCTTTCTTTTTTAATTTTTTCTTTCTGTTTCTTTTCTTTTTCTTTTTCTTTTTTCGTTCATTTTCATTTTTCTGTCTTTCTTTATCGTTCCTTTCCATTTCTGTCTTTCTTTATCGTTCCTTTCCGTTTCTGTCTTTCTTTATCGTTCCTTTCAGTTTCTGTCTTTCTTTGTCGTTCATTTCCGTTTCTGTCTTTCTTTATCGTTCATTTCCGTTTCTGTCTTTCTTTATCGTTCCTTTCAGTTTCTGTCTTTCTTTGTCGTTCATTTCCGTTTCTACCTTTCCTTTTCGTTCCTTTCAGTTTCTCTCTTTCTTTGTCGTTCATTTCCGTTTCTGTCTTTCTTTTTTGTTCATTTCCGTTTCTGTCTTTCTTTATCGTTCCTTTCCGTTTCTGTCTTTCTTTATCGTTCCTTTCAGTTTCTGTCTTTCTTTGTCGTTCATTTCCGTTTCTGTCTTTCCTTTTCGTTCCTTTCCATTTCTGTCTTTCTTTATCGTTCCTTTCCGTTTCTGTCTTTCTTTATCGTTCCTTTCAGTTTCTGTCTTTCTTTGTCGTTCATTTCCGTTTCTGTCTTTCTTTATCGTTCATTTCCGTTTCTGTCTTTCTTTATCGTTCCTTTCAGTTTCTGTCTTTCTTTGTCGTTCATTTCCGTTTCTACCTTTCCTTTTCGTTCCTTTCAGTTTCTGTCTTTCTTTGTCGTTCATTTCCGTTTCTGTCTTTCTTTTTCGTTCATTTCCGTTTCTGTCTTTCTTTATCGTTCCTTTCCGTTTCTGTCTTTCTTTATCGTTCCTTTCAGTTTCTGTCTTTCTTTGTCGTTCATTTCCGTTTCTGTCTTTCCTTTTCGTTCCTTTCAGTTTCTGTCTTTCTTTATCGTTCCTTTCCGTTTCTGTCTTTCTTTTTCGTTCATTTCCGTTTCTGTCTTTCTTTTTTGTTCATTTCCGTTTCTGTCATTCTTTTTTTCTTTTCGTTTTTATTCATTTTTTTTACTGATGTTTCATTTTTTTACTTTCTTTCTGTTTTCCTCTATATTTTTTTTTATTCCCATAGCCTTTATATTTATTCTCTATCCCTTTCTCTTTTTTTTTATTTTCCCATTCATTTAATCTCTCTTTTGTTCAGATAGTTTTTTTTTTATTTTTTCGCGTTCTCTTTTTATCTCTATATTCTGTATATTTCCTTCTGTTTTCCTTTTCATACTTTTAATATTTATTCTTCCTTTCTCTCTCTCTCTCTTTCTCTCTCTCTACCTACCTTCGTTTCATTTTTGCTTCATTTCTTCCTTTTGTTATTCATTATGTTCGTTTATGTTCTTACTTTTTTGCTTCTAATCTTTTATCCTTTTCTTTCTTTCTTTCCTTCCTACATTCATTTTTCTTCTTTATAGTTTTTAGAGTTGTTTTTCTTTTCGATATCTTTCCTTCTCCCGATTGTGTTCTTCCTCTATTTTTTCAGTTTTCTTTTTAATTTTCTTTGACCTTATTATGTTTCTACTTTTCTTGCTTCATCAAGTTCGTTATAATTTATCTTTATTAAAATTATTTGACGTTTATTTTTAATTTTGAGTCTTTCTTTCTTTCTCTCTTTCTTTCTTTCTTTCTCTTTTTTCTTTATTTTTTCTGACTTCTTTCTTTTTTCTTTCTTTCCTTGTGACTTCTTTCTTTCTTTTTCTTTCTTTCTTTTTCTTCTTTCTTTCTTTCTTTCTTTCTTTCAGTATTAATTTAATCTTTTTCTTCCTTCGATTCATTTATTTCTTTCAGCTTTTATATTTTTCGTAATTTTTCTTTATTCTATTCCTATGTTCTTCCTTCATATTTGCACCATTTTCAGTTTTATCACATTAAATCAGTGATCTCCCTTTATCTATGGTCTTCTCTTAATCGCTGGTTTCAGTTATCCGCGGTCATACAAATCATATCTTTTAATTACTAATGATCTGAACAGAACGAAATCCGTGAACATCACAGCATTTGTATAATGTTCAGTTGAAAAAGAGAAACTGTAAACTGCTTCATTTAAAGGGAAAACGTGAACATTTTCCACATTTTTTCTGAATCATTTCACCCCAAACAGAGTGATGAAGCCACTAAGACGCCAAGAGAATGCAGAGAATGAAAGAAAATGAGAAAACGTTAGGGAGGAGAAAGTACAATAAAAAAACTGGTATCAGGAATACAGAATACGCTGATTGATGTTGATTTAAATTGTTGCAGATCGTAGTTTACTGGAAAGCAAGAAACCGGAATAGTGTTCCACAGGCCAGAAGTACGAGAAAAGAAAGCATTAGAACACAGCTTACGGTTACATCTAGTTTAACAGTAGTATTATGAGACCTAACTGCCAATCTAGTACTACACTTAAATTCATAAAGTCGAAGTACCAAAGATAAATGCTCAACAGAATAACAGCCATGAAAATATTTACAGAAAAGGCACAGGGAAGCTACGTTACGGTGCTGGAAAAGTGTCAAGTTCCGTAACATTGCAGATTCTTTTTTTGGATCTTGGCAAGAAGGGAAGACAAAAACGGTAGACTGGTATAGCTAAGTTAAATGGCATGTACGAATCTTTTACTCTCTGGTCTAATTTCTTTTATCAGAATACAGACACTTCTCACTTAAGGATTATGTTCAGTTATAAAGAAATCGTCAATTCCAATAAGCCGTTCACTAAGTCATAGTTTATAACTGAGCACTATTTCAGGCTTGCTATGTGTGTAATGAGTTTGTGCCAAGGTCCAGGTAGATTGAATATCGCTTATGCATAACTTATAACATTTCTCTAATTTATTTCTGAATTTAGATGAGTTGCTATTTAATATTTATTTGAGATGAGCAATTGTCAGTTTGATCAAGCATGGGTTAAATAGCAGGATAGATTGGGTCCTATAGCCTTGGTTAACAATTCCTCTGCCAAAATTATTCTACCAAATCAAGCACGAATCTAAAAGAGATATGATCGTCGAAGTGAGCATTACACATGGCACCTAAAGAAGGATATTAATATGTAGGAATTCTACAGTGATCATTTTATTAGTTAATGACTATAGGAAACCGATCAAAAGAGGCATGATCGCCCAAACGCATAGTGCCGAAGGAAGGAAGGAATGATTGAAAGAAGGAAGGATTTGTCAGTATACCTTAACTAGAAATACCCCTGAAAATTTCATGGTTTTCTTATATTATTTATATTATTTCCTGTATTATTTTTTTTTGATGATTCTTAATTCTTAAGTTAATAAATGAATAAGCCAATGGTGAGTTATACAACAATAGCATACTCGTAGAAATTCCCTTATACTATCGTTAAACATTTGAGCTGAACAGCTGTGACTAAATATTACAATAATAATCATAATATGAATGCTGGTCGTTATTTTAAGTAGTGGGTACAAATGAAACGACATGACACGGCAATACAATATCTGGAGAAATTCCCTTATCGCATCGTTAAATATTTCAGCTTTACAACTTTAACAAAATATTGCATATACAATCATAAATATGAATGTTGGTCATTATCTTAAGAAGTGGGTACAAATGAAACGACATGACACGGCAATACAATATCTGGAGAAATTGCCCCTATTGCATCGTTAAATATTTGAGCTTTACAACTTTAATGAAATATTGCAATTACAATCATAAATATGAATGTTGGTCGTTATTTTAAGAAGTGGGTACAAATGAAACGACATGACACGGCAATACAATATCTGGAGAAATTGCCCCTATTGCATCGTTAAATATTTGAGCTTTACAACTTTAATGAAATATTGCAATTACAATCATAAATATGAATGTTGGTCGTTATTTTAAGAAGTTAACAAATGAAACGACATGACACGGCAATACAATATCTGGAGAAATTGCCCCTATTGCATCGTTAAATATTTGAGCTTTACAACTTTAACAAAATATTGCAATAACAATCATAAATATGAATGCTGATCGTTATTTTAAGAAGTGGGTACAAATAAAAACATTTAAAATTGAAAGATTTTTCCATTTCAGTGAAACAGACATTAAAGACATGTATCTTTCCTTCTTTCTTTCTTTCTTTCTTTCTTTTTCTCACTGAAACCAAGTAACGTCTTTTCTGTCTTAACCCATTATTTATGAGGTATTGGTATGACGTAATGGTCGTGCTAACTAAGGAAGGTACAAGCAAAATTATGCATGTGTCTATATTTATGAACGGAGGTTTTATAATTATTTACACTATTTACGCCGTTCGGCATGTTATACTCATCTTTATTACCATGTTCACATTTCGGTTGTTGTATGCTTCGGCCTTCTTTAGTATCTGTTAATATTTCTGAGATGAGTTATTCTAATTATTTACATTGTTCGGACTGTTTTCTCATGTTTATTACCATATTCACGTTTCTGACGCTGTACACTCCGGCTTTCTTCAGGATCTGTCTATATTTCTGAGGTGACGTATTGTAATTATTCACATTGTTCGAACTGTTTTCTCATTTTTATTGCCATATTCACGTTTCGGCCGTTGTATGCTGCAGATGGTTCGAAATTCGTGCCAGTTTTTGATTGTTCATTTATAATTATTGCCATAATTTAGCTCTATCGGGTCTCTACCGATCCATCAACATCTGACTATGTCTCTGAGATGAGGTATTGTAACTATTTACACTATTTATATCGTTCAACTGTTGTACTCATCTTTACTGCCATATTCACGACATTGTAAGCTGTGATGAGGACAACAGACCGAACGATTTAAATATTGTAAGCAGAATTATAATAAGCTCATTTCAAAATGAGAGCAATAATTCGAAACACGTAAAGTATAAAATTTCTAAGCGTTCATGCCGTGCATTAGTGTACTCAACAATAAACGTAATGAACAAATCCGAAAATCAGTTCTGTATTCTATAAATCACTTTCATTTTCAAACTGTAAACACAATACAAATCATTTAAAAAAAAATATTTTTCCCTTTATTCATTTGATTTATTTTAATATATTTTGGAGAAAGGGAAACCAATCAACGATCAAAGTTGTTATATAGGAATAAATAGTCGCTGCCGACACTTGAATTTGAACATAGATCGCCTGTGAGCAAACAAAGGCGATTCCTTTATTGAATTAAGTAGATCACGTGACCATAGAGGAAACGCATATATAGGAAGTCGTGTGACGTCTAGATTGATCGTTATTTTTATTTTATCCTCTATTAATATACGGATCGTTATCTCTTCTCTATCCTCTATTGCTATATGGATCGCTATTCTCTATTCCTTTCTCTACACTATTCTCTATTCAGTGGTTATTTTATGAGCGAATATTATCGAGCAAGTACTATTAATGTGAGTGTTATTCGAAGGCGTCTGACACCAGTATTGTTTAACGGCGCATTATTGTTGTATCTGCGATTTCAAACGAGCATTTCAAAAGCGTCGACCGAGTGTTCGTTGACATTACAAAATATGTGTAAGAAAAACATACGAACGCCTAAGCTTGTTGTTCGCTTTATCTCGTATCCAAGAGTTTAATATTTTTTCTTTGCTGATCGCTTCCATTATGATGATGGCGTCCATGACTAAATTCACCGCCAACGTATAGGTTCAGGATTAGAAGATTCCAGCTTCGCCAAAACCTGTTCCCATCATCTATTCCTTATCGTTCTTTGGCTTCATCCATTCCTTATCTTTTTTGGTTAGAGGTGAAAGAAAAACAGAGTAGAAGAATTCGACGATGGTGTGAATTTGCTTAAGGTGGACCTCAAATTGACAGAAAATGACCCTCATACTTGACTTCATGACATTTTTTGCAGCACATATGTAATGTCATGCAGGACCCAGTTATGAAACTGGATCAGACTGACCATGGCATAGTTATAATTTAGAGTTCCGCCTTCTGTAGCATGTCTGTCATGCGTAGCCCTCTTCATCCGGTGGTTCAATTGTTGAGATCTGTTGTAATCATCATCCAATTGTTCTACCGTTGGGGTCTTTGCGGTTAATCGCGTTTACTGTGGGTCTTCGTCTTCGACCTTTCTGACAGGGTTGGCCTTATCAGTTTAGAACTCCCGATAGCATCCGTTCTAAGAGTCATTGCATCAAGTCCTATTTATAATATAAATGTAATTTAAAAATATTTTATCAAACGGAACAAATAGCTTTTGGGAGGTCAGCTTCTACAACTCTCGAAATACAAAACCACGTGAAACAAAAATCTACATTAAGTTATGTTGGTCGAGAAGCGCTATTAAGTGCAATTTCACTGCTGCCCATAAATGAGTTTCGACCATTTCTTTTATAGCCGAAGTGTTCGAGCGGGACACATTTATGGTTGCCTTTCATTAGACAAGGTTGTTTTACAAAGTAAAATAAATGTTAGACGGATTTTAAAAAAAAATCTTTTATTTTATTTGATTTTATGAGTATTCGTTAACCAAGGTAAGGCGTTAAGTGAGGACTGGTTGTTAATGTTGTTTTGTTATATCCAAATAAGAGAAAGAACAAAGTGAGTAAAAATCCACAATCCGTAGCATTTATGTTATGGTCCGGTTCCTTGTACCACGGTGATAGTCCAAGGTAGAAACAATAAAGAAGAACTCGAACACGGACATGGAATAACACAGATATATTACAAACAGGAATATATACAGAGAAGTAGAAAAGTGTTAGTACGAACAATCAGGTTTAGTAGTAATTGTCTGACGCGACTCTGTTTCGGACTGCCTCTGACA